TCCGCTTGATTGCGGGGTTTCAGCAGATAAAAAGTTTATAAGTTGGTCGGGTTCTTGTTTTCCTTTTTCCATCATTAACATCATTAATATAAGCTATCAATAACCCTGTCGTTTGGAGCATAGCTTCACAGTATTGATCTGCGCAGCTATTCATCTCTGCCATAGAAGACACGGAATAATTTTCGCATTACAGTAGCTTGGATTTGCTTTTAATTCATATTTAAAGCTGCAACTGGCTCTGTGGAGCTCTCTGCGAAAGACTAGAGGCGCCTAATTAATAATAAGTTAGAAACGAAGGAAGGCACCAGTGGATAAATAATTAATACAGACATCTCTGTCTCTTTGAGTATTGCTACTTTAAAAATTTAGACTTACCAGGGCCATACTGTAAGTCTGCAAGTTATATTGAGGAGATGATTTAAGAAAGCTATTTTTTTTTTCCTGAAATACAATGCTAAATTATTTACGGTGTTTTGCAATCTTCCATAAGTTCCTTCATTAACAAGCGCTGCGGTTTGCTCCGGGGGGTGTGGGAGAGCGCGGCTGCAGAGGGACCGCGGCGGCTCGGCCAGGCTGCGCCCTGCAGCCCTCGGGGCTCGCTCGGTGCCCTCTCCCAGCTCCGCGTCCTTCAGCCGGCCAGACCCCACCATGGGGGCCGCAGAGGGGAGAAGGGAAGAGCCCAGCTCCTTCAGGCAGGTGGCACGGGCCGGCTTGGAGCAAGTTCAGTCACCGCGCTGCCGTCTCTGGGTTCCACGAGGCTCCCCTCGGACAGAAGTCCGGGCCGGGGGTGAGGGCTGCGGGAGGGGGAAAGGCAGGACCCCCCCGGGCGGGCACCCGCAGCGAGCCCCCGCAGCGCCGCAGCTTACCCTGAAAGCCAGGCCCTCCCCCACCTGCCCCGGCCGGCGCAGCCCTCTGTTCTCTGTCTGCCCCCGACAGATGTATATGTTTTTGTCGCCAAGCAAGTTTCCAAGAAGCTCGACAGGGGAAAGTCTGGAAAAGTTAATCCCCCCCGGCAGCTGTTGGCTTTGGGAGCCTTCGAGCGTCACCTTTGACACGCTGCCCGTGCGAGGGGACCCGGTGCCGCAAGCTGTCACCGCACAGGAGGCGCGGGAGGGCGCGGGCGGCGGCAGCCCCCTCACATGCCGTTAAAAGAAAATCAAAGTGGAAAAACATAATACAAATAAAAATAAATTCAAGGAAAAAAGAAATAAATTAAGGAAAAAAAAAAAGAAAAAAAAAAAAGAGCGAGAGAAAGAAAATAAAAAGGAAAGAAAAGCAACTGTGTCCGGTTGGTTGTCGCGCACTGCGATCGCTGGCCCGGGCCGGGCCGCCCCGTCGGGCGGGCCCCGGTGCCCGCGCGGTGTTTGCTGGCGTCAGGCGGGAGATTACGGCCGTTTCATGGTGTCATTAGCTCGGATTTAAAAAGCACACACACGCCACGCAATTCAAACAAGCAAAGTTGCGTTTTAAGTCCGCTCCGAGTATCTGCTGATCAAATAAAGACTTAAGGGCGGTAACGATTATTCTGTTAAATATATGGTACTTGACTGCACAAGCAGTAATTGATTAGCGCACCGAAATGAGCTCTCTCCGGCGCTCACCCTTCGCCAGTGGGGCGGGAAGCTCCGCAGGGGAACCGTGCTGTGCTCCGCGAAGAGGGGAGCCCACGCACGGGCACCCTCGACGGCGGAGAACGGAGGCTGTGGGGAGGTGTGCCGGCCTCGTCTTCTCTGTCCCGGGCTCCTGCGACCCCATCCCGGGACACCGGGGCACCCTGCAGCTGAGACGGGAACGGGGTCGTCGGGCCCAAGGTCCTGCTCTGTCCCCGCGCCGGCGGCTTTTGCGCACCAGAGCCGCTTCGTCGTTGGGTTACCCCCAGAGTAACGGAAAAAATATTTTAAAAATAAAGATGCATGAAGGGTTGGGGGGAGCTGGGTGCGTTTATACGGCCACTCTTTTCTAAGGTTAGAGATTGAACCTCGACGGAGGCCGGCGTGTCACAGGACTCTCCAAATTGTTTGCGGTCGGGTTTATGCTCATTTCTTGAAGAAAAATTTGATGTTGCAATTTCCTACAAACTCCAGGGAGTAACATATTCGCTATGACGTTTTCTTTGATAACTAATCGCTAAATACACGGAGATTAAATATTTTTAATTAAACTGTAAATTGTGTACAGATATTGATAATGAAGAAGCTGACAATGTTTCGATTAGATCTGTGACATCACCTTGCGTTGGCTTGGAAAACAATCGCAGCTGTTCACTTCGGTCTCGAAACGTTCTCGATTATTTTATTATTGTATTTTATTTTGTATTTTATCTGAAATATTTTCTGAGGTCATTGATTAGGTTTCAGGTTTATCTTTTCTTCTTTGGCAGATAAATCTTTCCTTAGCTATTCCTCGTTATCAGAAATGGAGATACAGTCAGCGTTAACGTTACAAAAATTTAGAGAGCTGTGGAAGCGTTTAGAGTTGGAGGTGGCTGGGCCGGTGGAACAGCGCAGGATTTGTATGTGGGAAATTTTTTTAGCACAAAATAAAATACGGGGGAGCTCTTTGCACCCAAGGAAAATGAAGGCAGTGAGCAATTGATTTCGGAGACTGAGTTCAATAGCTCAAAATTCTTAAAAGTGTGTGTGTGTGTGTGTATGTGTTAATTTCGGGAAATACATAAAACCGCTGTGGAAATTCTGAATGCATAGAGGCGAAAAAGTATACTCGCTTCCAGGACCGACACACGCAACACACACAGACGATAGCTGCGATTCTAAAAGTTTCCTGCGAGACTCCTGGCGCCTGGTGATTTTGGAGCTCACCGAGCGCGGGCACACGCAGGTTGTCCCCATGCAGCCACGAACGGGGCCGGTCCCGGATCGCAGTCCCCGCTCCGGGTTCCCAGGGCACGGTCCCCCGTGAGCACCCCGGAGTCCGGCGGTGCCTGGGTGAGAGGCACCGGGTGGCTCCCGCTCACCTCCGCGTCTCGCTGCGGGCGAGAGTGCGGGAGGACGGCCCAGACACACCGGTGTGAGGCACGGTCCCCAGGCCCGCACCCAGTGCGGGACAGCGGGTCTGGCGGGCGTTGTGGATGGGCAGCAGGGCAAGAGCGGGGCCAGGCCTGGCTCCGGCCATGGGGCTCCTCGCCGAGGCCCCGCCGCTGCTGCGGTACTTTGGGGTCAGAGAGCGGTGCGAGGGGTGTCGTTGCCTCGATGAACCGGAGACAGAGAGACCCCACGGGGTCCCGAGCCGTGCCCTTCCCCTCGCACCGAGGGGATCTCCCCAGGCCTTGTTCGTAAAGTTTAGGCAATAGCTCCGAGAAAAGTAACCCCGGGGGTTGATTTCAACTCGCTGCTAGCCGGACTCTGCCCTAGGACCGACTCCTGTCTCTGTCCCTGCAGCCTGCGTGCCCCATGGGGCCGCTGGCCCGCTGGCAGCGACTCCTGCCTCTTACCAGGGAAGAGGCCTTGGAGCTTCCAGCGGAACGCAGGGAGGGTGACAACGTCCCCGTCACAGATCTCTGCACGGGTCCCGAGGGACCAAGCGGTTTGCCCTCGCTCTATGCGCAGCCGGTGCGGTCTTTTCCAGGACAGGTGCTCATGTCCTATCCCCCCCTCCATTGAAAAGACACCAGGGTCCCGGCCTGAGCCCCAGAGCGGCGGAGATCCGCTCGCTGTCCCCGTGGCGATGGGGACAGGCGGCTCCGCAGGGTGCCGAGAGCAACCGCGGTCCCCGCAAGCAGAGCGGGGGGAAGCGGCGGCCGCCTTTGTGCGCCGCCGGTTCGGTGTCGCCCGGCTGCGGCCCCGCGGCTCGGCCCGGCCCGTCCCTCCCGCCGCTCGGCGCCGCGCACACGCTGCACTCTGCCCGGCGTGGTTCGTTATTGTTAATGGGCGAACAATAGGCACATCTGCCCTTTCTTCCAGCATAAAGGCACCTTAGCTAACGAGGGGGGCCGGCGGGTGAGCTCGCTTGTTCTTTCTCCTCCGCCTCCTTTCCTTTCTTTTTGAAGAAAAAAATAAAAGAAAACCAGCGGCATGTCCGGCTGCTGGGCGCCTCGGGACATATGCTCGCCTTGCACTGCCGGGCACGCCCGGGGTCCCCGGCGGGGGCTGCCGAGGGACGTCCCTGCCCATCGCACCGCCCAGCCGGACCCCGCGGGACCCTTGGGAGGGGTGCGGGAGCTGAGCCACAGGGCTGACCCCGGGACGCAGCGCCCTGGGGCTCCCACCGCCCATCCCCAGGCCGGGCAATGGGAAGTTTCCCCCTTGGGCACCTAAGAGGAGTGGTACCGGGGCAGGCGGCTGCAGGACAGTGTGGGTGCATAGGGCGGGGAGTGCGGGGGTCACGGCCTGCGGGCGCCTCGGGGCAGGACGGTCCGGTGTCACCTCCGGAAGCTGCCGGTGAGGTGAGGAGGCTCCGCGCTCACGGAAAACGCGGAGTCACCGAAGGGGCGTGGCGGGTGTCCCTGCCCGGCGGGGGCGGGGCGGCCCTTTGTGCCCGGGGCGGGGTCGGCGGGCCCGGGGCAGCGGCACCGCCGGCTCTGGGCGCCGCCGCGCGGGGCTCGCCCGCTTAATAGGGGCGGTGACGTCACGGGGCGGGGCGGTGGCGGGCGGGGGCGCCGCGCGCATGCGCGGTGCGGGCGGCGGCGGCGCTGCAGCACGGAGCGGTGTCGGAGCGCGGGGCGCAGAGAGAGCCATGGCTGGGGATGGCGAGGGACGCGGCCACACACCCGCCGCGGCCGCGGCTGCGGGGCCCGGCCTGAGGGAGCGGCGGCCCTAGGACCGGCCCGGCGGCGCCAGCCAGCAGCGGGAAAAAACAAATAAATACATTGCCACAAAATAAAAATTAAAAGGAAAAAAAAAAAAATTACAAAAAACCAACCAACCAAAACCGGGAAAGCCAGCAGCCCGGCAACAGCAGCAGCAGCACCGCCACCACCAGCCCGCAGCGCTCGCCCGCCGCCGCCGGCCCGCGGGAGCCACCGGCCGCCGCCAAGAGCTCCGGGACGCCCCGCCGCCCACCAGATAGATGTGCGGTCCCGCCGCCCGCACGGCCGACGATGAACGCGCAGCTGGCGATGGAGAACATCGGCGATCTGCACGGGGTGAGCCATGAGCCGGTGCCCGCCGGCGCCGACCTGATGAGCGGCAGCCCCCACCACCGGAGCGCGGTGGCCCACCGCGGCAGCCACCTGCCGGCCCACCCGCGCTCCATGGGCATGGCGTCCATCCTCGACGGCGGCGACTACCACCACCACCACCGGCCGCCCGAGCACGCGCTGACCGGCCCCCTGCACCCCACCATGACCATGGCCTGCGAGACACCCCCCGGCATGAGCATGAGCAGCACCTACACCACGTTAACCCCTCTGCAGCCTCTACCTCCCATTTCGACGGTCTCGGACAAGTTCCCTCACCACCACCACCACCATCACCATCATCACCATCCCCACCAGCGGATACCGGGCAACGTGAGCGGCAGCTTCACGCTCATGCGGGACGAGAGGGGTCTGGCATCTATGAACAATCTCTACACCCCTTACCACAAGGATGTTACCGGCATGGGGCAGAGCCTCTCTCCGTTGTCTGGATCGGGCCTGGGGAGCATCCACAACTCCCAGCAAGGGCTGCCCCACTACGCTCACCCCAGTGCCACCATGCCCGCCGAGAAAATGCTCACCCCAAATGGATTTGAAGCCCACCACCCTGCCATGTTAGCCAGGCATGGCGATCAACACCTCACCCCCACCTCCGCTGGCATGGTGCCTATCAACGGGATCCCACACCACCCCCATGCCCACTTGAATGCCCAGAGCCACGGGCAGATCCTGGGCTCTGCCAGGGAGCAAAACCCTTCTGTAACTGGTTCGCAGGTCAACAGTGGAAGTAATTCAGGGCAAATGGAAGAAATCAATACCAAAGAAGTAGCTCAGAGGATCACCACCGAGCTCAAACGGTACAGCATCCCCCAGGCTATCTTCGCCCAGAGGGTGCTGTGCCGCTCGCAAGGGACGCTCTCAGACCTGCTGAGGAACCCCAAGCCCTGGAGCAAGCTCAAATCCGGCCGGGAGACCTTCCGCAGAATGTGGAAGTGGCTCCAGGAGCCGGAGTTTCAGCGGATGTCTGCTCTGCGGCTTGCAGGTGAGCCCGCTGCGGGGTGGTCGGGGCACGGCAGCGGCAGAGCGGGGCCTCGGGCCTGGGCAGGCCGCCCCGGTCCCCGCCTGTCCCTGAAGAGCAGCACCGATACCCCGCTCCGCCACTCCGTTTCTCTCCCTTTCCCTTTCCCTCTCCCGGCTCGGCGCACCGGCACCGTCCGGTTCCTCTGCGCCGCACTCAGACAAAGCCGAGCCGGGGCTCGGTCTGCGCAGTGCGGCGTCCCGGCTCTCTCCGTTCCCCGGCCGGGGCGCACCCGCCAGGCTCGCCTGCCGCCGGCAGAACGCCACCCAGCGCGCCCGGTAACGGGACGCCGACGAAAGCCGCACCGGCCAGCGGCAACGCTGCCAGGAGCGTGGAGGGCGAGGCGGAAATGCTTGAATTGGCGGCTGAACCGGGCCCGACCGGGCCCACGGACGGGGTACAGGGGAGCCCCGGTAATGCGCCGCCGAGAGGTGTCGGTGCATCTGCTTTGTGTCGGGGGCGGTGGGCTCAGGTCTCGGCGGGGCTTGGGGCCAGCGTCCCGCTCAGGTGGGATGAGCTGGGACAGGCGTTTGGCGCGAATGAGCCGAGCCGGAGGGTGAGCGGTGGCTGAGAAATGCTGTTGGCTAAAATCGTGGGATTTCTTAATTTTTTTTTGACTGGTTGTAGTTATCATTAGGCCGCCGCGTTTGAGTTTCGCGTGGATGTCTCTGCGTGAGACAAACCGTGCGTGTCGTGGCTTCGCTGCTCCAGAGCCTCACCCCGCTGTCGGCGCTTGCTGCCCGGTGCGCTCCGAGCTGGTCCCGTATTGTGTGCACGGAGATGGCCGTCCCGGTCCGTACCTGTGCTCTGCTGCCGCCTCCCCAAACCCTCCCGTCTGCGCTCCCGGTGCAGAGCCCGACTTTAATATACCGTGAGTGAGGGTTTGTTAATTAAGTGATAGGTCTCCATTAATTTGTCCCTGGAGAACGCAAGGCAGTCAATCCGAGTTGGAGCCGGGGTCACTGATCCGTTTCACGGACAAAAATAAGGGAAGGGCCAAATCTTTCTCCTTTCAAAAGCACAATTGGTCTTGCGCTTTCGACTACTGTGACGGTGAGAACTTGTGACCGTTTCCCGAGTGTGCAGGGATGCAGCTGGGCCACCACCGTGCTCCGTGTCTATTTTCAGTCAACCACCTTGTTCCAGAAACCTAAAGCAGAGCTAGGAAGGGTCCGGGGCAAGGCCGCCCGCCCGCCCCGCTGTAGCTGGCCCTTAGGTGCCCGCCGGTGGGAGGACGTTGCTCTCTTTGGCTTCCACTCCTGCGGAGTCAGTTTCAAAGGTCTGAGCTCTCAGAAACTGCCCTTTCCGCCTTCCTTTTCTCAGGAGCCTCCCCACCAGCGAAAAACTCTCGTCTTGCTGGTGCTACCCAGGAGAGGAGGTTGGAGTTTATGTTTCCAATATCCCCGTAACGATTGCTAAGGCGAACTTTCTTCGATTTGGAGCGTATTTTTACGACAATTTGGTCGACCTGAATCTCCGCTCATTTGCATAGATCGATACTGGAAACAACCCCTCGATTCGGAGCCTGCTGGCATCCCTTCCCTGGCGCTGCCGGCCGGGAAGCTCTGCCAGCCCCGGCTGCTGCAGGGCCAGGAGGGAGGGAGGCGGCCGTGCTCTGCCCAGCTGCCGGGTCCGGAGGGTCCCATTGTTCGCTTCTGCCCCCAAACCGCCCCTTCTTCCAGGCACCTCAGCGCTGCCCTCTCATAAACGGATCTCGGTAATCCCGTTAGAGAGACAAAGCCTCATTATTCCGCCTTCCCTTTCCGATGAAACCCGAAAACTGGCACCTTACAGAAACAGCTTCCCCGGGGCGAAGAGGGGCTCGCAGCAAGGGGGGGTCGGGATGTGGCCCCGCACCCGGGCATCCCCGCGTCCCTCGCAGCCGGGCCGGGCCCCGCAGGGCTCTCCCCGCGTACCGGGGGCTCCGGGCCTCGCCGGGCGCTGCCCACCTGGGCGCCGGCAGCACGTGGGCATTTGCATGGCGCTGCGTCCCTGTCAATGGGGCGGTCCTGGGGCCCCCGCCCCGCCCAGCGCAGCCTGCGCGCCCCTCCGCGCCCCTCCGCGCTGCCGGCGACCGGCTGTAAATGCATAAAGTATCGATTTTATTTTGTGCAGGTTTTAAATGTGTGATGATCTTACTAAGTGGTAAAAATCTGCCCCGATTGATATTGATGCATGAACATCAATTCAAAATAACATAAATTACTGCAGCCGACGCAAATTAAATTTCACGTCCAAATTATAACTCACTCCCGGTCGTTTAGAGAATTATCAGGTAGATAAATACCCAGAGCCGCCTTCATTTCTTCCCTTTCTGATTTCCTGCAGACAACAACCAGGAGGCAGTGAGGGGGATGGAGCCTGCTTATTTTAGGCCTCACGGTCTCGCCTTGCACTTTATCTTGAGTATTTGCCCCTTCCAGCCGTCCCTGGGGGATTCCTACCTCCCAGATTACAGAAGCTCCGACAAATAGAAGAAAAATTGGTAGTTACATGGAAGCAGGATTGAGGTCTTGACACTTCCTGGGCTGTCTCTTGAAATGTAAGCAGAACTGCTAATTGCAAAGCTGACCTCTTCCAGCCTCCATCTTATTCATCCCATCTCCCTCCTCTTCTCTGTTCTTTTTTCCTTTGTCTGTCCCACTCTCTCTCTCCATCACTGAATATGTATCTATTTGACTGTCTCTCTGTTAGTCTTCCCTCCCTCCCCCTTGCCTTCATTGACATTTGGAAGGGCTGTGAAAGGACTCCGAAAAAATAAATACAATTAAAAGAAAAAGTACGTCCCTTCTCCAGCCTGCTGGGATTTAAGGTTGAATTTATTTCAGCTTGGGTTTTTTTCCGTGTGTGTGTGAGAGGAAACAGGAGAGGATAAAGGAAGAAAAAGACTCGACTTTGTCTTGTTCAGGAAAAAATAATCTGCTTCGAGCCATTCATTGTTGGAACTGCGACTGCCCGCCGGCCTCGCACGGACCCGCCGGTCGGGAGGGAGAGTAGTGGCCTGGGAAAACGCGGCAAAAGCACATTTTGGGAACGCACCAGAGGAGTGTAAAGGAGCCCAAGGCTCGTTAGGATCTACTGCCCGAAGGGGTCCTTTGCCGATGTGCGCCCTCTGAGCGAGCTCGTCCCGAAGGGCCTCTCCGTGGGGCTCCCCGAGCGGGTGTCAGCAGGGAAAGGCGCCGTGGGGAACCCGCGCTCGTCCGCGGCTCTCGGGAGGGGGCAGGCCCGTCCCTCCAAAGCTGCTCCATGTTTGCCTGCGACCTGACTGGTATTTTTCATAGCTGCACCTCTTTTCCTCCCCTCCTCTTATTCTTTCTCCCTCCTAATATGAATCCCGGCTAAGCTGAAGCCTTGGGAAGCCGGCGAGAAATTCTCACCAAATTAGCTGTAAAGAAATCGATGGAGTAATCAGAGCGTTTTCCACATTAAATATGAAATCTAATGACGCCGTTTGCACCTCTCGCCCGCCGCCCCTGAGCGCGCCGGGAAGGTCGGGGCCGCCCCGGCCCCGGTGGCCTCATTAGGGGCTGTTTAATATTTACCCTGAGGGCACTTTGCATAAAGGCTTTTGCATCAGGGAGGCGGGGGGCATCGACCGGGGCCTTCACCACCGACACCCTGAGCGCGGACCTGGACCGGGGGAGAGGCCCTTCCTCTCCCGACCCTGCGGACCCCCGGACGGGGACAGCCCGGGTCTGGCTCGGCACCGCTTGGTTCGTGACAGCGGCCGCTCCACCGGGGCGGTGCTTGGGCCGAGGCAAGGGGCCCCGTCCCGGAGGGATCGGAGGGTGGGAGAGCACCGGAGTAGTCGTGCCCGGTGCGCAGCCGGGGGAGCGCTGGGGCGCGCTTGTTTGCCGGCCGTGTCCTTCGGCGGGATTGATTTACAGCAGCGTTTGCCCTTCGTTAATGTTTGCCCAGCGGGAGGAGGAGGAGCGGGGCCGGGCGAGCCGCGTTCCTCCGCACTGGGCCGGGCCCGCCCCGCGCCCGTCTTGGCAGAGCCCCCGCCCCCGCAGCACGGCTCGGCCCCTGCTTGTTTGTTCGTGCGTGTGTTCGCTCGGTTGTTTGTTTGTTTTAATTACCCGCCGCGTGGCGGGGCGGCACCCGGGGGCCGTACCCCGGCCCCACCCTCGCTGCCGTTTGAATCAAAGAGCCCCAAAACGGGGCCGCTCCCGCCCGTGGGTGCTGCCGGGGCCTCTCCGGGGTCACACAGCCGGGCTGTGGGCGCGGTGCCCGCCCCGACCGGCCGGGTCCATCGCGCCGTCCGCAGCCCTCGCTCGTCGCCCCTCGGTTCCCGGGGGTTCTGCGCCATCTACTGACCGCGGGCGGGCGGGAGCGGCTCCGCCGGCCTGGGCACCCCGCCCGCACCGGGAAGCAGCGGCGGGGGCTCCGGGAGCGCTGGGAGCGGAGGGCTCCGCTCGGGCTGACTCGGTCCGAGTGAGGCCCTGCCCGACTTCAGCACCACGGACAGCGACCGCCGGCAGGCCCGGCCCCGCTGCCGGCCCAGCTCCGCCTCCGCCTCAGCGGCCCCGCTCCCGGGCGAGCCCCGCGGCGGGCCAGGCCAGCCCCACTCCCGGTTCATGGACCACGCCGCCCGTAGCCCGAGCGCAGGTGCTTGTTGAGCCGCCCTACGGCTGACGGCCCCGATGGGAAGCAGCATGGCATCGATTATACGTAGCGGCAGCCGGCCATTAGTGCCGCGGGGCTGCGGCGAGCGCCGGGCTGAGCGCACGGGCTGCCCGCGGCGGGAGCGGCTCCGCTGCTGGCAAGGCAGAGCCCCGGGGGCACTTGTTTTGGGGGTGAGCGCCTTCGAACGGGTGCATGGCCAGAAGGGAAGCAAGCTTCCCCCATCACGATAACTCAGCCAGCCAGAGGGGTCGGGATACCCCAGGAGGAGAGGAGAGGTGCGTGGCACCAGGATTGTGCCCGCTGCAGGTGCCACCGGTATGGATCCCGGGCTCCTACCG